CCGCGCGCCGGAGCCTCCGTACCTCTGCACTTTACTTTCGTAGCTCCTCTGAGTCTGTGTGCTCTTCTCTTTCCTTCTAGTTGTAGAATTTCCACTCAGCCAGCCTTCCTGTGGTTCTGGATGATGACCGTTCTGTCTTTTATTTGTATTTTTGAAGTTGTTGTTGGAGGCCGCAATTTCCGGTGTTTACCTATGCCGCCATCTTGGTTTCTCCTGCAAGGATTTTTTAGGTAATTATGCATAGCTTCACTTTTTCATCTACATGTGAACATTCCAAGAACCAAAACACTGAAAACTCTGTCAGCAGGTACCCATTATTTAATCACATACCTTGGGATTGGTGAGGTATATGGTAATTCCCATCCCTGTAGGAATGAGTAGTATGTGGGATTTTTGGATCCAGACTTAGACACAGGGTACAAAATAGGAATCAATTATTAGAACCAGGTATTGATTGGGAATTGGTCTCAGGGCCAAAACACAAGGTCAGTTCACAGAATAGCAATGAAGGCGAATTGATATTTTTGCCAATAACATTAAAGTCAGAGTAGATCCTTTAAGCTGGGTTGAATCTCTGCTTGGAGCATATTTCCCAATTAGTGAAGAAAAGGGATAAAATGCTTAGGAATCCAAGCAGGGCTGGCCAAGTGGGGTTTTGCTCCTGTTAGTGTGGGGAGACAATTGAGCACTATAGATTTGAGCTGTTATGATCAAGTTATACTAAAAAATAAATATTTGCAAATAGGTATTCCGAACTAGTTTTTCTTTGGGGGCTAGATCCCAAATGTAAATCACATATTTAAGTCAATCTTCACCCCTCCATTTAGCAATAAACCAAAACATCCTTCAGAGCAATGGTCCCCTGAACATCAAAGAAAATTGCATTAAACTAGCAAAAGTTTTTGAGCACCTTCATTAACATTTATTTATATATTTACAAGTAATATGCATATACAACTCTCCTAACATATTTTGTATATTTTAAAACAGAAACAAAAATATACACTGAAAGAAATGAAATAAAGAATACATGGAACTCTTTACATACTCATGTGCCTGCCTGGATCCGCCACTGTGATGAAGGAAGAGGAGGAGGGGGCTGAGGAGCAGCAGCGATTCTCTTATTGACAGACATGGGAAAAGAAACACAATTATCACAGAAGATGTGAAGCTCTTGGCCAGGAGGAGTCATTCACTGCTAAAATACATCACAGGGGAAAATGAAGAGATTACACAGTTTCACGTAGAACAAAAAACAAAAAAGAAAAAGAAATTAGAGGATGAAAACAAAGATTCAGTGGAGCCAGCAGAGGTTGGAGGAGTGGGAGTGAGAATTAAACTCTGTCACTGTTTAGAAAAAGCAGTCCTTAGCAGGTAGAGCCACTGAAAATGCATATTGCCACAAAGGGAATCTATATCTATAAAAGCCTAAGCAACCATTACGATGGAATGACCAGAATGTCAGGAACGAACGGTCACCATGATGCGTACTGACCACCAGGGGGCAGGCACTCAATGCAGGAGCTGTACCCAGACCACAGTTCCCAATCGCCGATAGGGCCTGCTGGCCAACCTCCCGGTCCTTCCCTCTGGTCAGCAGGCCCCGATCGCCCGATCGGGGCCAGACCCGCTGGGCTGGAACAGGGAAATGGGGGTGGGTGGTGGCAGATGTGGCCCCTTTCCCAGGGGTCCAATGGCTAGTTCCCTCCTTGGGGCCGGCGGTCATCCTCCCTGGTCCCTCCCCCCATCTCTCCCCCGAGCTGGCAGGCCCCGATTGGCCCACTGCTTGCCTGCCAGTGACAGGTGGCCCCTCCCCATGGCCAGCAGGCCCCGATTGCCTGATTGGGGCCTGCCAGTCAACCTCCCAGTCCCTCCCCCTGGCCGGCAGTTCCCAATCACCCGATCGGGGTGGGTGGCGGTGGACGTGGATGGTGAGGGAAGGACACAGATTGGGGGGGGGAGGTGGTGACAGGTGGCCCCTCCCCATGGCCAGCAGGCCCCGATTGCCTGATTGGGGCCTGCCAGTCAACCTCCCAGTCCCTCCCCCTGGCCGGCAGTTCCCAATCACCCGATCGGGGTGGGTGGCGGTGGACGTGGATGGTGAGGGAAGGACACAGATTGGGGGGGGAGGTGGGGTACCGTGTGGTGGTGGTGCATGGGTGGTGAGGGAGGGAGGAGGTGGGGAGGCGGGGAACCTGATCAGCCCTGATCGCCAGCCAGGCCTAGGGAACCCACCCATGCACAAATTTCATGCACCAGGCCTCTAGTTTAATAATAAGTGAAGATTAAAAAAAAAAAAGAGGTGAGGGGGCTTTTTATGCTGTATTCTCTAAGTAATTGACTGCAAACAGTACTTTAAAATTGGATAAGGAACCCTCTTGCACTGCTGGTGGGAATGCAGACTGGTGCAGCCACTGTGGAGAACAGTATGGCATTTCCTCAAAAAACTAAAAGTAAAACTTCCATTTGACCTAGTAATCCCACTTCTAGGAATATATCCCAAGAAAACAGGAACACCAATCAGAAAGGATATATGCACCCCTATGTTCATAGCAGCACAATTCACCATAGCTAAGATTTGGAAACAGCCTAAGTGCCCTTCAGCAGATGAGTGGATTAGAAAACTGTGGTATATCTACACAATAGAATTCTACGCTGCTGTAAAAAGAAGAAATTCTTACCATTTGCAACAACATGGATGGATCTGGAGAGCATTATGCTAAGCAAAATAAGCCAGTCAGAGAAAGATAAAATCACATGATCTTACTCATTTGTGGAATTTAATGAACAACATAAATTGATGGACAAAAATAGAACCAGAGACATAGAAGCATTGAACAGACTGTACAACCTATGAGGGAAGGCAGGGGGTGAGGGGTAAGAGATCAACCAAAGGACTTGTATGCATGCATATGAGCAAAACTAATGGACACAGACAGTAGGGGGTTGAGGGCTTGTGCTTGGGGGTGGGGGTGGCAGGGGAGAGGTCAATGGGGGAAAAAGGAAACTCATGTAATACTTTAAACAATGAAGAATTTAAATGAAAAAAAAAGAGAAAACTGGAAACTCCAAAGCAAAATACTCCCTCCCATATCTTCTTTAAAAAAATATATTTTATTGATTTTTTTATAGAGAGGAAGGGAGAGGGATAGAGAGCTAGACACATTGATGAGAGAGAAACATCAATCAGCTGCCTCCTGCACACCTCCTCCTGGGGATGTGCCCACAACCAAGGTACATGCCCTTGACCGGAATCGAACCTGGGACCCTTCAGTCCGCAGGCCGATGCTCTATCCACTGAGCCAAACCAGTCGGGGCGCTCCCTCCCATATCTTACTGAAGCACATAAAAAATGTTTATGTTTCAATGGTATATATTGGAAGTTTTATCTATTGCAATTAATAAAATTATGTTAGCAGTTAAAATAAAAGAATACATGGAAATGATAATATAATGCTGTTGCACCCCAGTAGGTAGGTTATCTTGGGCCCCCTTTCGGATGAACACATTCTATTTTGGAGATCTCTCTTTTAGAGTATTAATGATGAAGGGTATGACTACATTTTCAAGTCACTTACACCAGGTCTGGAAATATGATTTTTATTCCTCCCATTCATTAATCTGATTATGTAGGGCCTACAGAGCTCTATCTTGGATATTCTGAATTATTCTGATTAATGGCAGACAGCACTGACCTTAGATGGCAATGTTGTTCTGCCTTGATCATCATAGCAAAACTAGAGTGCCCTGATTTATTTTCTGCACAAAGAATATTAGGCTCCAGCTGCTGAAGTCAAAGGCCAAATGAAACATCACCAGATGCTGAATCCAGGAATTCTCCTAGCACCTGGAGCTCAGGTTCAGAGGCAAAAAAAATAAAATAAAATAAATAATAATAATATAAATAAATAAATAAAAACCTATCTGTTCCCTGGAGATCTGAGGCCTTGGGATCAGAGGACAAGCCCAGCTAGGCACAAAAATAGTACTAAAGCAATTCTAGAGGTGCCTAATAGAACTTTAGTATTGTGGCACAGTATTAGTATGCAGTGTCACTCCCACATTCCAGCTCTTTATAACATGTGGTCCTGTTCCTTGAACCCCAGGAGAGTCTCCACTGAACTCCCAAATTTGCTGAGGAGTTCACAAAAGCATTTTGATATCTACTTTTCCATATATATTTTTAGTAATATCTTTATTAAGATGTAATTCACATTTCATAAATTCACTCATGTAGACCAATTCAATGGTTTTTAATATATCCATAGATATGTGCAACCATCACCACCATCAATTTTAGGACATTTTCATAACTCCAGAAAGAAATCCCTCTCCAGTTTCCTCGACACACCTCTTCCTCCTTCTCCCACCCCACCTCCACCCCCCAGCCCACCTCCTCCCCTGGCTCAGGGCAACCTCTTATCTACCTTTTGTCTGTATAGATTTACTTATTCCAGACATTTGATATAAATAAAATTATATCATATGTGGCCATTTGTGACTGGCCTCTTTTACTTAGCATAGTGTTTTCTTTCTTTCTTTTACATTTAACACCATTTTCTTTAATATATTTGAAAATAACCAACAAAGATTATTGTCAAAATTATTTGAATTGTACTTCAGAATACTTGTGACAACAGTCACTTTTTCTTTAATAGTTATAAATGAAAAAGGTATTCATTAAAATAAAAATGACCTACTAAAGTTAAATTTATTAGTACTAGAATGGGAATGCCTTGATTCATCTCCAATGAAAAAAGTAAAAGGTGTTGGTAACAGGACATCCCCATTAATTAATTCTCTTTTATAACATCATAGTAACTGAGGATCAACTCTTCACTCTGTTATCATTCAACCACAATATGACCTTGTCAGAGTGTTATTCATTAGGAAGCATAATGCTTTTATAGTTAATTCATGTACTGCTACTTTTTATTGCCAAATGGTATTGCATTTTATGAATATACTGCCAGGGCTGACCAGCAGCCCCTGAACAACAGATGGACAGATTACTCTGACAAAATTTCATTGTAGGAGAGAGGGCTAAGGGACGGCCTGGCGGAAGAAGCCAGGCAGCCTCCATTGCCTGCCTCATTAGGCTTTTATTGGAATTTTTATCTTTAGATACAATCAGTAGGGTGAGTAATCTTGGGAGGACACATGTGTTTACATTGTCCTCTAGGCAAGGGCATCCAGGGATTAAGCATAAGGATTCCAGTAAACACC